CTTTTGTATATTCTTTTCTAATTCTTGATATTATTTGTTCAATTAGGTACTTGACTACAAGGAAGGACAATAATGGATCTTAAAGTAATCATTGGAGCTTAAAGCTAGCATTGGAATTTGAAGTTGCTTAAGGACGTTTGTGAACATTTCTCGAAAATCTCGTAGTTTAATTGTTTCACTTCTTTGCATGCTTGTAATAGTCCTTGTTGAGGCTCATTATATTGCTTAAATTTTTGTCTAAGCATCGGCCCGTGTGGAGGCCTTGTTTTATTGTAATATCATCGGCCCGTGTGGAGGCCAATATTTTCTTGCATTTTGGATTTTAGTTGTGAATGGAAAAATTATTTGATCCAAGTTTAGGGGAAATTACATCTCTTCACCTTATGCTCCTCCATATTTTAATCTTTATGAGATTGATTCCAATATTCAACATGCATCATTTTATTATGGACTTGATCATTGTTGGGTAAAGCAAAAGAATTAACCAATACTTACAAACTTCAGGATAAGCCTGAGACTCATGCCCAATGGTGCTCCTGTTTCAATTCGGTGGGTGAAATTGACATGGACAGCCGTAATTTACAGAAAGCAGCTTCTCGAGAAGATTCCAGTGACAACTATTTGTACAGTCCTACAGCCAAAGACATTGAACATCGGGATTTGAAGCATTTTCAGCGGCACTGGTACAAAGGGGAACCCGTGATTGTCAGTAATGTGCTTGAAACAACGTCTGGTTTGAGCTGGGAACCAATGGTTATGTGGCGTGCATTCCGTCGGATCAAGAATACCAGGCATTCCCTACAACTGGATGTAAATGCCATTAATTGCTTGGACTGGTGCGAGGTCAGTTTCAGTTTTCAACCTTTTCTCTTCAATAATGCTGAAAATTGATGACATGCACATGATGTAGCAATGGACTTGTCCGGTTTATTATATTTTCTTTTTTGATTTCATGAGAAAATTAATGAAAAGTATTTCTAGAGGAAGCTGGATCTATTATCAGTTCAGGTTGTCATGTCAGTACGTTCCATTCCACTTGCATTCCAGTCTAAGATGCATAGCTAACTTTGTGGTTCCATACCACTTGCATTCCAGTCTAAGATGCATAGCTAACTTTGTGGTTCCAATTATATCACAACTTTTCCTGTTGCCTTGACTGTTTGGTTGATTTAAAGAATTTTTTGTAACTACTTAACTTCTATAGGAATGGATTTGTTTGTATGATACATTCTCAAGCTATGTGGCTGTTCTCGAGATTTTTGAAAAATTGTGTTGTATTTCTCTTTACTCTTATTTCATTAAGTAGGACAGATTTTGATTTAAATGTAACGTGCTGCTGTAATCAATAACAATTTGACTGGCTTAAGAGTACATCTTTCTTAACAGTATTTAAGTGTTTTGATTGAATGATACTGGCCCCCATCATATTTAGAAAATGATTCATGCCATTTCCCATTTATTGGGAGATGGGGTGTTATAATGAAGCAATAGGAGGGGAACACTATGGGTATTGGGTAAAGTAATTATTTTCCTTGGAGACCCTGAATATCAAATCAAATTGGATTCGTCATATGTGGGAAGGTTTACTTGGAGAAAATTGGGGTTTTGGAAAAGAGAACCTTCATTTTTTTAAAAAGGTTTTTCCAGAAATTTTGAGTATGATTCTATATTTCGAATAGTTTATTCATTTAGTCTATTCCTGACCTGATGCCTTCTGATTTTCTGTTTATAGAAGTTAGAATATTTTGGAACCTGGCAGTTTTTGCATTCTAATCAGGTAAAACTCAATACTTGTTGAACATCTTTTCTACATGCAATTGTATGTCAAAATTATTAATACTACAATTTATGAACTTGCCCTCAGACTGATTTTATAACCACTGTTTTTCTACCCTTAACCCAATCTGCAATAAGTCATTCCATAGTTCTTTTGGATGCTCTCTCTCTCTGTCTATAAAGGTTCATGTCATCATGAGGGCTGTTGCCTGGTTCAGCTGTTTAATGGTTGAACATCAGTGCTATTGGTGCGAGTTCGAGCCTTAGAGCAGCTACTTTGTGAAATTTCAAAGGTTAGGTCTGTCTTGGGTCCTCCCTTGGTAGTGTCCCCGCTCTATTAATGTTCATTATTCTTTCTAAACTATAATCCACAATCGTTATGTAAAGTCTCTTTTAGGCTTCCTGATTTGTATTTCACAACATGTTTCTGTACTAGTCAGGTTTGATTTGAAATTGTATTCGTCTGCCGGCTCAATGCATTCGATTGTAGTTGGATGTAAACTGAACCCAGGATTAATTGATTTTATACTCCAGTGATTGATTGTATCTTTATCAATGTTCATAATGCTATATTCTTGTGATAAACTGCTGGTAGAAATCAATATCCACCAATTCTTTAAAGGGTATCTGGAGGGCCGATCTGACAGTGATGGATGGCCTCAGATTCTGAAGTTGAAAGACTGGCCCCCTTCTAGTTTGTTTGAGGGACGGTGCTGAGTTCGTAAGTTGCTTGCCCTTCAAAGAATATACACATCCTCGCCAGGGCTTCCTAAATCTTGCTGTCAAATTACCTGAAGAATCTTTGAAGCCAGACTTGGGGCCAAAGACATATATTGCATATGGTATTTCTCAGGAGCTGGGACGTGGAGACTCTGTAACCAAGCTTCATTGTGATATGTCTGACGCGGTATGCTTCTATTTGTGGACTTATAATAGACTTCTACATTATTAATTACTGGGTAATTTCTTTTAGGATTTCATTATTGCTTGGATCTGTGTTCCTGCCGTAGTTCTGCAAATGTAACGCTGTCTGTTCACGGTTATAAGAAACAATAAGATGGTAACAACTTGAGGTAGGGGTCTGAGGCTGCCTTTTAACAATTCCACGCTCAAGCTAGGCCAATCATGGCCTTTAGAAGCATATAATGCACTTACATCAAGACTAGACCATCTATAGTGGTAGTACAGACATATAGACACACACACACACTTAGAAATATGTGGATAAATATATAATTCGTGCGAAGTTGCAAAATGATACATAAAACTAGTGTAGATATGATCTTTCCTCCTCAAAGGGGAGGTTGAATGTTCGAGCCTTGCTAGGGGCAATATTGTGGGCATACGGTATGACATGAATATGATGACATGTTAAATCCTAAAAAGATAGGACATAGGTACAAGGTGGACACAACTAATGTAAATTTAAATTACCATTTATTAAATTTTATTAAATAAAAGAAGTACAACATGTTTCATAATTTGGAGGAGAGAGTTGTGTATGTCCTAATATTATTTATGGTGTTACTCTCCCACTTTGTCATTATAATTAATTTTGTTATATATAATAAGTTTTGTTACATGTTATGACGTGTATATAGTATTAATTTTCTCTCAAACCAAAAAAGAGATTAAGACACTTTGAACTGTATTTATATCATTTTCCAGATTATTATATGTTTGTATTATGTGAGACTTGTATTGGAGTGTATACGTATGTCGGCCAAATGTCCAAATTAATAAAAAAAAAATTCAAATTATGGACACGTCCATGAAGTATTAGACACGTCTAAAGTATTAGACACTTGTTGAATTGTCATAGAAGTTTGGCCTCCCGTTAACTCGTAGAAGCATTAAGCCTCCACCTTGGGATTACTTGATATAGGTGGTTTGGGGATGACTAAGGTATTCGAAGGGAATAGTTCTTTCCCTAAAGGGGTGCGAACTCCCCCTTTCACAAGAAAAGAAAAATAAAAAAGAAAAGAAAGGAATATGAAGAAGAAAGAATGCCATAATCTTGAGTTTGGCAGGTTACCTGATGTTTGATATTGTTATGACATTGTCCTTACTCCCTCTCAACCTGTATGTATAATAACGATTGTTATGGGGTATAATGATTGTAAAGTAACTGTAATGGCCTAATAATTTTTTTTTTCTCTAGTTGATACTTACACACCCCCTCCAAGGATTTGTTTGCACTCAAGAAGAGGAATTGAACTTGAGACATAATGTTTCATGAGTCACCAAAGCCAAGCGACTTACCCACTTGAACCAACACTACTTTAAGCTTTTAGGCCTTTGTTCAATCCAACTTTTCAGTATAATTTTTCTGTCACTAGCCATTATATCATGTGCTTCAGATTCACTACCGTAATGGACGATTTTGGTGTCATAACAGTTACGGCACTGTAATGCCCCTTTCGCCATTGAATTGAAAACTTCATTTTTTTTCCACCTTTCTTCATTTTCTTTCCCAAAATTTTGACTTCTTTTCTGATTTGTATGATACCACTTCTATAATACAAGATCCAGCTTTCAACACCTCTAAAACACAAGATCCTTCTATCTAAGGTTACATTTCAAATTTACACTACAACAAATTTGGGCTCTTGCTACAAGACACTTCGTGGCAAAAACTTACAAATTTCGTGACAAAAGCTTTTTAGCCACAAGAAATAGCTTGTGGCTCGATCATGGTCGTAGCCCCGTCACAGAATGTCAATAACCACGAATAAAAATTTTCGTGGCAAAATGTGAACCTTTTGCTACAAATTTGAACTCATGGTAAAATACCTTCTATTGCCACAAGGTGTTTCGTCGCTAAATAACAATGTTTTTGTGGCAATTAGCAATCCCGAAGTAGGAATTAATCGTGGCTAATTCAATCATTTCGCCACGAAATTTATTCGTGACTATAAATTTAATTACCCACAAATATATGTCGTGACAAATACACAAAATAGGCCACGTTAGTTTATTCGTGGCTATAAATTTAATTGCCCACAAATATATATCGTGGCAAATACACAAAATAGGCGACAATTTATTCGTAACAATCCACGATGAGAATTTGTGACAAATGTTTCCTTTTTTTGATATATTATTATTATTTTTTTTTATATATATTAATAACATTTAATGGTAACAATTATAATATTGTAACCTATAAATTATTAACATTATAAACAAAATCAAAAATAAAATTTAATCACACATCAAAATGATTATGCAAACAAATAAATACTCAATATTGCATAAGCCACACAAACCAAAAAAAGTATTGTTTACAACATACACAATAAAGCCTATCGTATAAAAATAAAAAATTAAAAAAGAAGTCTTAGAATCTGAAATAGTTTCAACTCCAATAATCTGGACAAAAGAAAGCTAGTATGCTAAATAGAATGCTCTGAGATCTTAGACAAAAATGAAGTATAGAATCCTAAATGGTTCAAAGATGTGGACATAAACTACTTAAACCATCTTAAACAAAAAGAGCTTGAATTCTTGTATCATGAGCTCATCCAACAATCTGCAAAACCAACGACGAATAAATACAATTAGTGCTTATGTCAAAAAAAATGAACCCAAAGCTAAATTTTCAAAATATGCTACATGAAAGAAAAAAAATATAAATAGAAAATAATAATACCAAGATAAATCAACTCATTAAAGATAAGAAAAATTATAAATAAAAAAGATAGAATACTATTAAGATTTATAATTAACAAGATAAGCTTTGAAAAATCAACATGTAAGAGTATTTACTTTGTGAAACAAAACTAATCATATTACTTTTTATGTCACTTCTCACTAACTTGCAATTTCTATTAGATAGAGAGAATTAGACCATGAGTTGTAATAATTTAAATTACATGACTAACTAATTCAAAATGAACTCTTGAGGTCTGCCAGAATCTCATTTTTTTTATGCGTCAGTTTTTTATGTAGCATTTGGAATATTATGATACATCTTTAAGCTTTCTTGTTTCATATCTGAGGTCCTGTCCAAATCTTTGAACCCCAAAGCCTACTTGAAAATTTCCTCAATTGCCTTAAAGCCATAAAGCCAATTGAATTATTGCTTTCTAAATTATTGGAAGAGTAAATATATAATCCCTAGTAAACCTTCACTTGATGTAATCTCTATATAGTATGTATCCAGAAATCCCACAACTTGTCCTATCTCATTAATGCATCTTTTATGCATTTGCCATTGCTATGTACCAACAATCAGGCCTCCACATCTATCTATTCTAAATAAATGGAGAGCGAGAGAGAGAAATTGTATTAACCAAGAGAGGCAATCTGTTTCCTTGTCTCTAATTGCACCATGTGACTGCCATAGCCCCCTTTAAAAAAAAACACAAACAAACATGAATTGCGCAGCAGAGGCATATTTTCTGTTATTCTCTAAATATCTTAATTTTACATTGAACCAATGATTAAAGAACCCTGTAAACCGATGTCACATTGCCATTGGCATTTTTAATTATCACTAACATGGCTATATTTATTTACTGTAAAACATAAAGGGTTTAATAGAAAAAGTTTGTAAGGACTGTTCACGCGGTTTTTGTTCCCTACGCCGGTCGATGGACTCTTCGCGGGCGTGCCAGAGTATTTGTACAAAATACCCAAAATATGTAATTGAACACCAGCCTATCCCTTTTTCCGATGGCTGACTCTCAGGCGATTGTGTGGGAGAGAGACTAGTAAGAACTCCCAGCAAGGTTCTTTTATGCCTTGTTTGTAGCAAGGACTTTTTAGAGTGTCTAAAGAAATGCAACGGCTGATGAATGTTTGAATGGATGGAGTGGCCGAGTGAAGACAGGCGGTAAGAACTTAATCGATCGCCGGCCGAACGTGATGGCGAGAACTTAATCAATCGCCATCAGCCAAACACAATGGCAAGAATTTAATCGATCGCCACTGAAACGTGATAGCAAGAATTTAATCAATTGCCATCAGCCAAGTAATGACAAGAATTTAATCAATTGTCACTACGATTCAATGGCAAGAATTTAATCAATTGCCATTGAATTGAAAGCCTAACTAAAATTGCGTAATTAAAATTGGCATAATTGAAATTGAAAGAAAGTAAATGGCTGAATTGAAATAGTTGACAATGATCTAATCAATTGCCATTAAATTGAAATAAAAAAATTGATAGGAAAAATGACGTAGAGTCAATTGAAAACATTTTTAGTTGAAATGCATGTTTTGTGGTGGTGCTGGACGAATTGGAATAGGATTACAACTTTCCTATTTATAAAATTCTTTCTCAACTTATTTTCCTAACTTTTTGCTAGAAAATCTCTCATTCCTTGATTTTCTTCTCTTCGTGAATCAAACTAAGTCAAAACTCAATATATTTCTCCTTATCTTCATGGCTTGCCTTAGTAGGAAATCCTTGCTGAAACCAACTTCCTTGATTTAGTCACATATAAGTTGCCGAGATATTACTAAAACGTTGCTAGAAAGTTGCTGAAAAGTTGCTAAGTTCTAGCAACTTCCTTTTATAAACTTGGCAGCCGTGTTCTATACCAAGTGGCCCATCTTTTAGCGCCATGTCAAGGCCACTTGTCACAATTAGATTTGTTCACTTCATGCTGCCAACCTTCTATACATGTCTTCAAAGCTTTCCTTCTTTCATCAAACTAAACTTCCTATTTTATAGGAATTTAGTTATTGAGTTTCATCCAAACTTTAACCTTTTCCTTTTCTGTTAACATCCCATTTTAAAAAAAAGTCAAATGTTAGTTGCTATATTTCAGCAACTGCCAAATCATTAGGTGGCTGAAATATATCTTTCTATATTTGCTCCTAATATCTTCAAAACTGGCCGATCCATTCTTGGACATGCTCAACCCTTATCGGCTTCCCATTGGTCCACGTCGCTGCTGAGGTGGCTGCCAAGTTTTGGTGCCAACAAATGCCCCCTGAATTTCAAGGGCTTTTATCACTTATGATACGAAGCGTTTGGAATTTGAATCGGCCTAAAATTGTAATTCAAATTTAGTAATAAATCCTTTTCCCAACCACCTGCTTTAATGGTTATCTTTCCCAATTAAAGCGGCGACTACACTAATCCGCTATTACATCCAACAAGTATTTAGCTTGATGTCCTCTAATCCCTAAAATCATTCTTCTTCCCTTAAACTTTCTATCTCTGAAACTTCTTTCTCGGCAAAATTATTCCTGACGTCTTCTATGGCTCCTAAGAAAACTAAATCAACTGATTCCACCTCTATCCCTCAACCTTCCGATCCTTCAACCCATGGCAACATCATAGAAAAATCCCTAAAAACTCTATCTCCTTACAAATATTGTCTCAATACCCTTATCGATCTTCGTACTGACTTCAAAGGCTTAGGTCCTGCTTTCCTTGACGAAGCTCCTTCATCAATCTCAACTTTCTATCCTTCGACCGACGTTCTTCCATTCCTTCAAACCTTCCCTCCTAATGAAAATGGCAGTTTGCCACACTTTCATTTTAGAACATGGCATATTCCAAATGATGCTTGGATCAATTGGGTCGACCGGGTTAGAACTGTAAAGGGAGAAGTATGGAAGGATTGTGGCATATATGATGCCATTCAGCTAAGTAAAACTAACATCGCCCAAGACAGGGCCTTGATGATAGCAGCCATGTTTAATTGGTCGACCACCACCAACTCCTTACACTTAAAGTGTGGCATGATGGCTCCAACCATTCAAGACGTGTGCTATCTAACCGGCCTCAAACCCTTTGGGATTGATGTAAGTACCTTATTGGTAGAAGAGGATTTTCCTTTCATCTTCCCTTCAAAGCAAACTGGAACCAAGTCATCTGAATCCTCTTATGGCAAATACTTAACTTCCACCATGGATCCTCGCGTCCCTGTGAATGATGCTGAGCATATTGCCTTCTTGTTGGCGTGGCTGAACAAGTTTCTTCTATGCGTACCGGCCTTTCAAGTCACAAAGGATTTCATTCATGTGGCCGTTGCTCTTTCAAGAGGTAAACACCTTGCTCTTGCCCCCTTGGTGCTTTCTCATTTATATAGAGGGATTTATGACTTGCTTACCTCCAACTTCGGACGCTATGGTGGTCCCCTCTGGTTATTTCAAATTTGGCTTCAAGTGTACTTTCCTGAACTCGGACCTGTGGTAAGGCCTTCGGCCAATAACCCATTACTTTCTGTAAGTTACGCATCAGCCGTACCTAAATCCCATTCGTTTGGAGATTGCTTCAATTTCTTTTACTCCGGTTGTGAACAGAAGACTATCAGCCAATTTCTTCCATTTTCTCATTGCTCACAAGCTCCTCGATGGCTGACTCCTCCTCAAGGAGTGTCTACCAAAAAATCAGCTGATAAGCATTCAGCCATGTGGGCTAGTTTCTTACTTCCAAGAGACCTTCACTTCAACACTGGCCCTCTAGGCACAGTAAACTCAAAAGTTGGAGTTGAGTTCTACAATCCAAACCAACTTGCTAGGCAATTTGGTCTGACTCAAATGATCCCCATGCCCCCTTATTTCTCTTTCAACAAAAACTTCCATAGGCGTGTGGTATTTCCAGATGACTCCTATGTAAAGAACGTGTCCTCCCGGTTCTCAAATCTACAAGCCGGGTTCCAATTCCAACCCTTCATCAAAAACCCAGCCTCAGATTCTAGTTTTGATCAATGGTGGTCTTCTTACATTACTTCTACAAGGACGGCTGACAGCCAGTCCCTTGTTGTTAAAATATTGGAATCTTTCAAGTTCATATCTGTGGCCTTTGAAGGGGCATTCGTAATTTCCCGGGCCGTTACCCCAAAGAAGATGCCTCAAAAAGATCCTCCCAAAGATAAAAAACAAACGGCCAAGAAACTCCCTTTCTCTCAGCCAACAGATGCTCCAACAAGGACCAATAAAGAGAGAAAAGCCAAGGCCAAAGCCACTGTCAGCCTCCTCAAGGGTACAATCTTCCTTTACTTGCATATATATATATATAAAAACTTTTAATTGAATTTCTCTTACCCCCTTTTTTTTTTCTTGCAGATTCAGACAGTGGAACTTTATCAGCCTCGCCTAATCTAGAAAACGTTGAGCCCCAAGATGATGAAATTTCCTCAAGCCAACCTCCTCAGCCTACAACAACTGAATCAATCATCATCCCTAATGTTCCTCCAGTTCCTCCAAAGGTAAAAGTTTTTATCTATTAACATACGAAAACAATCATATCGGCCCAATTATTAAAATTCTTGGCCGATATTGACTTCTAATTCTCGGCCACAACTATTATTGGCCGAAACAAACTTTAATAAAGCTTCCATCTCCAGGGGAAAAGAAAGAAATCAACTGCTCATAGCACTTTAAAAAGAACAACATTGAGCAAACGTAAGAAACAGGAAGTGGAAGAAAATCTAGAAAGCCTTCATCCTACAGAAGACGTGGCCGATGACCCCGTAATTAATGTGACTGACACTCCTTCTGATCATTCCTCAGATGAAAAAGAGGTAAAGATAACTGTACTTGAAATTTCCAAACTTTTCAATTAATATG